CCGCCGGCGCTGTGACGTCACCGCGCTGCGTGCGCACGCCGCCGCGTCCCCCGCGCGGGCGCAGAGCCGCCATGGAGGCCTCGGCGGGCGGCGGCGGCGGCGGCGCCGGGCCCGGGCGCCGCTGGTACTTCAGCCGCGAGCAGCTGGAGCGCAGCCCCTCCCGCCGCGCCGGGCTCGACCCGGACAAGGAGCTCTCGTACCGCCAGCAGGCGGCCAACCTGCTGCAGGACATGGGGCAGCGCCTCAACGTGTATCCGTCCGGGCGGCCCGCGCTCTAGGCCGCGCTAGGCCGCGGGGTGTCGGGGGGGGGGGAAAGCGGGGCGGGGCGGGGAGGGCGCGGAGATGGGGGGATACGGGAGGGTCGGGAGAGACGGGGGAGAGTGTGGGGAGAAGCGGGAGCGGCCAAGGGAAGGAGCGGGCCCCGGAGCGGGGAGAGCCCGGCGCGGCGTTGGGGTTGAGCACAGCCCGGCCCAGGAACGGCGAGGTCGGTGCTGGCGTGTTGGGAAAGCCCGGTTCGGCTCGGTTCGGGAGCGGGAGGAACTGAACTCCGTTTTTTTGGATTGAGGAAATCCCGTTTCGAGAGCGGGGAGAGCCGCGCCGGGGTGTTGGGAACGCCCGACCGGCCCGGAAGCGCCCAGCCCGATTTGAGATCCCGAAATGGGCTTTGGGAGCAGGAAGAGCCTGTGCCGGGCGGTCGGGAAGGTCCAGCCTGGGAGCGACGAGAGCCGAGCTTGTTTTGGGATCTGGGAAATCCCGTTTTAGGATCGGGGGGGAGCTGTGCTGGGACGCAGGGAAGACCCAGCCCGGGAACGGAGAGAGCTCGTCCCATCCCGGTGGGATGAGTTCCAAGGGCTCCCCTGAGGAGGAAACCCCTGCCCGGGGGTCTCTGTCGCGGCTGTGCCTTTCCTTAACCCCCTTCCCAAGCTCCCAGCTCACCATCAACACGGCCATCGTGTACATGCACCGCTTCTACATGGTGCAGTCCTTCACCCAGTTCCACAGGAACGTGAGTGCTGGGATCTGGGGGGAAAAGGAGGGGGCACTGGGAATCCCCCAGCTCCGCTCTGGGGAGATGGGACTGGCCCCAGGGAGGGATTTTGGGAAGGGGGAGGGATAAGGAGAGAGACCCTTTTCTCCCTGCTGGCAGTGGCTGGACTTGCACAGGCTTCACTTCCTGGAGGGATAGGGAGAATTCACCTGGTTTTATTTGGTTTGTTGTCGGGGTCGGTGAGTTTTTGACGTGACTCTTGTGCCTGTCCCCTCAGTCTGTGGTGCCGGCGGCGCTTTTCCTGGCGGCCAAGGTGGAGGAGCAGCCCCGCAAGCTGGAGCACGTCATCAAGGTGGCACACGCCTGTCTGCACCCCCAGGAGCCTCTGCTGGACACCAAGAGCGAGGTGGGCGAGGGGATGGAGCGCTGGGACAGGCTCTGGGGAGCGGGAATTGCCTCCGGGATCGCGCGGCTCCGGTGGCTCCTCCGCCCTCCCCGAGGGCAGCTCCCCAGTCCAGCAGCTCCTGCCACGGGGAGATTTGGGCTTCCCTGCTCTGGGCAAGCTCCCCTCTGCTCTGCTGCACACCTGGTCCAGGTCCAGTGTCCCTGGGATGCTGCCCAGGAGCAGAAGTGGGAGCAGTTTGTCCCCACAGCTGTCACAGGGGGTTAAAAACGCTGCTGATTTTCACCCCCAGACAGCCCATTTCACCTGGAGCTGGGCAGCCAGTCCTGCTGGAAGGGGCAGCTTTTTTTCCCAGAAAACTTATGGAAAATGAGAGAAAACAAACAAACAAACAAACAAAATAAGGCAGGAATAGCTGCTGATTCCTGCTAATTCCTTTCCTGCTCCTGTGCCACCCCAGGAGTGTGGGGGACCAGCACCCAGGGCCATCCCAGTGCTCTGCTCCCTCTTTCACACAATCCCCAGGATGGTTTGGGTTGGAAGGACCTTAAACTCCATCCTGTCCCACCCACCTGCCACGGGCAGGGGCACTTTCCACCAGCCCAGCTTGCTCTGAGCTCCACCCAGCCTGGCCTTGAGCACTTCCAGGGGGTCTGCGCCAGTGCCCCCCTGCAGGGAGATTCCCGTTTTTCCCCTGGAGAGAAGGGTGTTAGGGATGTGCAGGCTTGATCCGAGTGCCTCTCCGTGAGTAACCTGCCTGTCCTCTCAACCCCAGGCTTACCTGCAGCAAGCCCAAGACCTGGTCATTCTAGAGAGCATAATACTGCAGACCCTGGGTAAGTTGTTGAAGCGGCCGGGCTGCCACACGAATCCCAGAGCCAGGACAATTCCACAGGCTGGAGAGCCTGACCCCCGCTGTCCTCCCCCCAGAGTCCAGGCAACAAACCCCCTTTTTCACCCCCACTCTTGTTTCAGCGTCAGTTTTTCCAGGTGTGACTTGTGCCAGGCTCAGTGCTCAGAGAGATTTAAGTGTGGCTTCTCTCTCTTTTTTTTTTTTTTTTTTTTTTTTTTTTTTTTTTTTTCCCCCTCCCCAAAAAAACCCCAGGATTTTTGCTGCTTGGACACTTGCTGTCGTGGGTTGTGCTTTCCAGCTCAGTGAAAGAATCATGGGATGGCTTGGGTTTGAAGGGACCTTAAAACCATCTAGTTCCCAACCCCTAAAGCTCTAATCCTGTTGCAGGGAGCAGTTTGTGCTGAGAGATGTCTAAAAACCCCGGTTAAAAGTGAATATTTGCGTCAAATAATTGAATTGGAGGGAGGGGAACTCAAAAAAGCAACGAACCAGCAACAGTTTTTGGAAGTAGAAATTGGAGCCTCCACGTAGGGCAGGGGTTGGTGG